GATGAATACCATAAAGAGATGAAGATTGCTATGATTCGTGCTAATGTGGTGGAAGACCGTGAGGCTATAATGTCACGATTTTTGTGTGGTTTGAGCTGAGATATAGCAAGGGTGGTAGAGCTGCAACATTATGTTGAGTTGGAGGAATTGGTGGATAAGGCCATCAAAGTTGAGAGGCAATTGAAGTTGGACCGAAATTACAAGAGTAGTGGAGGTTCAAGCTCGAATTGGAAGTCCCATTGGAAGAGAGATGAGAAGCCGAATTGGAAGGGAAACAATCCCAAGGCCTAAACTTTGAAGGAAAAAGAGAAGGATGGCAAAGTTGGTTCGAATCCGACTTCAGGTAAAACTGAAAACCCTAACACTAAAACTTGTGATATTAAATGTTTCAAGTGTTTGGGCAGGGGTCATATGGCAAATCAGTGCCCTAATAGGAGGGTGATGATCATGACTGGATATAATGATGTTGAATCGAAAAGTGAGAGGAAGGAAGATGATGATGATATGCTACCATTGGAGGATTGTAGTGATGTTGAGATACTAACAAATGGTGAATTGATGGTGGTTAGGCGTTCTCTTAGTGTTCAAGTCAAAGAGGAGGAGCATCACTAGCAACGCGATAACTTGTTCCATACAAGATGCTTGGTGAATGGTAAGATTTGTAGCTTGATTGTTGATGGAGCTAGTTGTACAAATGTAGCAAGTTGTACCATGGTGGAGAAGTTGGGATTGAAGACTGCAAAGTATCCAAGACCATATAGATTGCAGTGGTTGAATGATAGTGGTGAAGTAAAAGTATCGAAGCAAGTCCGAGTTCCATTTGAGATAGGGCGATATGAGGATGAGGTGATGTGTGATGTTATACCTATGCCAGCAGGGCATCTTTTACTTGGTAGACCATGGCAGTATGATCGAAAGGTACATCATGACGGGTACACTAACCGATATTCATTGGTGATGAATCAGAAGACATACGCATTGGTGCCAATAACACCTACTGAGGTGTATGAAGATCAATTGAAACTACAATGTGAAACTGAGAGAGAGAGAAAAAAGTGATAAAACCGAGGGCCTGCGTGGAAACTCTGAGACGCAAGTAAAAGGAGAGGAAGATAAAAGTAGAGTGGTAAAAATCGAGAGAAAAGGAAAGCGAAAAGAAAAGAGAGAAGATAATTTCTATGTAAAATCGAGCGAAGTGAGGAGAGCTTTGATTCTGGACAGACCAATACTTGTACTTTTGTACAAGGAGGCACTGTTTACTACTAACGAACTTGACCCGAATTTGTCAAGTTCTGTCGTGTCTCTGTTGTAGGAATTTGAAGATGTCTTTCCTGATGAGATTCCCGGAGGTTTACCACCGATTTGAGGCATAGAGCATCAAATCGATTTGATTCTCGGTGCACCATTGCCTAATCGACCCGCATATCAAAGCAATCCTGAAGAGACAAAGGAACTTCAGCAGCAAGTTAGCGAATTACTAAAGCAAGGATATGTGAGAGAGTTTCTTAGCCCATGTGTTGTTCCTGTTTTGTTGGTACCAAAGAAGGATGGGTCTTGGCGAATGTGTGTTGATTGTCGAGCAATCAATAACATAACGGTAAAGTATCGACATCCTATTCCTAGGCTAGATAACATGTTGGATAAATTGCATGGAGCTTGCATATTTACTAAAATTGATCTGAAAAGTGGTTATCATTAAATTAGGATGAAAGAGGGGGATAAATGGAAAACTGCATTTAAGACCAAGTACGGGTTATATGAGTGGTTAATCATGCCATTCGGTTTAACTAATGTACCTAGTACTTTCATGCGACTTATGAATCATGTTCTGCGTGCTTTTATTGATCGATTTATAGTTGTCTATTTTGATGATATCCTGATATATAGTCGAAGCCTTGATGATCATATTGAGCATGTGCGAGCTGTTTTGCAGGTTTTAAGGGCTGAGCAATTATATGCTAACCTAAAGAAGTGTTGTTTTGTAATTGACAAGTTAGTATTTCTAGGCTTTGTTGTTGGTGCTGATGGAATATAGGTTGATGAAGAAAAGGTGAAAGCAATCCGTGAATGGCCGACACCTAAGACAGTAGGAGAGCTGCGCAGCTTTCATGGTTTAGCCAGTTTCTATTGTAGATTTGTAAAAGATTTTAGCACCATCGCCGTACCTTTTAATCGAGGTTATCAAGAAGCACGTGGGTTTCACATGGGGAGAAGAGCAAGAGAGAGCATTCAATCTGTTAAAGGATAAGTTGGCTGATGCTCCTTTGTTATCTTTACCGAATTTCAATACTATTTTTGAGATAGAATGCGATGCTTCTGGTACATGAATTGGAGCTGTGTTGATGCAAGGAGGACGTCCCATAGCGTATTTCAGTGAGAAGTTAAGCGGAACGACATTGAATTATTCGACTTACGATAAGGAGATGTATACTTTGGTGCGCGCTTTGGAGACTTGGCAACATTACTTGTGGCCAAAGGAGTTTGTGATCTACACCGACCACGAGACCTTAAAGTACTTGAGGGGGCAGCAAAAGTTGAACAAAAGACATGCCAAATAGATGGAGTTCATTGAGACTTTTCCATATGTAATCAAGTACAAAAAAGGTAAGGAAAATGTGGTAGCCGATGCACTTTCTCGAAGGTACGCAATTCTAACTACTCTAGGAGCAAAGTGTCTAGGTTTTGAGCATATCAAAGGTTTATACGCTGACGATAATGATTTTGGAAGAGTATTTGAAGCTTGTGAGCATGCTGCATTTGAAAAGTTTTATAGGCATGATGGATATCTCTTTCGTGAAAATAAGTTGTGTTTGCCTAGATGCTCTTTGCGCGAGTTGTTAGTGCGAGAGGCACATAGTAGTGGTTTAATGGGGCATTTTGGAATCAATAAGACTTATGAAGTGCTGCATGAACATTTTTTTTTGTCACATATGAAACAAGATGTCACACGAGTTTGCGAGAGATGTATCGCATGTAAGCAGGCTAAGTCTATGATTAAATCACATGGTTTGTATACACCTTTGCCTATCCCGACGCATCCTTGGGTTGATATCTCTATGGATTTTGTGTTAGGATTGCCTAGGTCTAAGCATGGCAATGATTCTATTTTTGTGATTGTTGATCGATTTTCCAAGATGGCTCATTTTATACCTTGTCATAAATCTGATGATGCATCGAATGTTGCTGAATTGTTCTTTCGTGAGGTTGTGCGTTTGCATGGCATGCCTAGGTCCATTGTTTCTGATCGAGATACTAAATTTCTGAGCTACTTTTGGAAGACATTGTGGAAGAAGTTAGGTACACAACTTTTATTCTCTACTACTTGTCATCCACAAACTGATGGTCAAATTGAAGTAGTTAACAGGACTTTAGGGACATTATTGCGTGCTATCATTAAAAAGAACATTAAATCTTGAGAAGATTGTTTATCGCATGTTGAGTTTGCTTATAATAGGAGCGTGCATTTTGCTACTAAATTCACACTGTTTGAGGTCGTCTATGGTTTTAATCCCTTAACTCTATTAGATTTAACCCCTTTGTCTGTTGCTGAGTGTGTGGATTTAGATGGTGCTAAGAAAGCTGAATTCGTGAAGACTTTACATGAAAAGACGCGGCTGAATATTGAGCTTAAGACAGAGCAGTATGCAAAGCAAGCTAACAAAGGGCGCAAGAAAGTAGTGTTTGAACCCGGCGATTGGGTTTGGGTTCATATGCGCACAAAGCGTTTCCCCAAACTGCGACACTCTAAATTGCTACCGCAAGAGGATGGACCATTTATGGTATTGGAGAGAGTCAACAATAATGCTTACAAGCTTGACCTTCCAAGTGAGTATGGTATTAGTGCTACTTTCAATGTTTCTGATTTGACTCTTTTTGATGCAGATGCTGATTTGAGGGCAAATCCTTTACACGGGGGAGGGAATGATGTGGACATCGAACCCTATCGAGGAGGAGGTGCTAGGGACCCGTTGTTCTATCTGCTAGGCCCGATCACTCGAGCGAGAGCGAAGGAATTCAAACAAGCTGTCGGCATCATGGTTCAAGATATTTGGAATGGAGACAATCTGGATTCGAGACTTGAAGATTTTAAAGCTCCTTGGCGTAACATGATTACTCTTAGTCCAGCGAATTCCGAAGGAACTTAGAATCGACGAACTCCGAATTGGCTCAAATTTGGATGGACACTTGGAAACGGGCCTCTGATCAATACACACTACTTTAGTAGTGAATGATGATGTTTTTTAGCGATTTGGAGTCGTTTAGATAAATTTTTAGGCCTTTTTCCATTTTTGGACGAATTTTTAGTAATTAAGGTTATTTTTGTAATTTTAATCCTAGTAGGGTTAGGATTAGGGTTAGTACCCTATATAAGGTTGCTTATAGATTTCTAATTGGAAGAGGCAGAATTTTATATAGAGAAGTTTTCTTCTTGAGTTCTCTTGAGGACTAGATCTAATTAAGGCTCCCCTTGTGGCGATCGAATTCAACTTATCGAGCAAGATCGCAAATTCTCTTGTTCGTGGCGTTGTAGCGTGGATTGGTTGACACAGGTTCGTCAACAGGTCGCGTTCATATCGAGATTACCAATCACAGGTTCGATTGAGGGTCGAGGTCAGCAATTCGTAACTCACGGATTTTCGTAAAACGATCATCTTCCGCACAGATTCATATCAATCACGCTCCATATGGACGATGATGGCTTTCTCTACCTCATGGGCCCTACCGGTCAATATGTGAGCAATATCACCTGGAAAGGACTCCCAAAGAACAACACAATGTATCTCGCGAGGATCGATGCGGATGGTATTTCAGATTATACTCATACGACACGATTAAGAAAGCAAATTGGTCTATTATATGGTCGTCCTCGAATGACCTACGCAGCTTGAAGGGATATGCGGGCTCAACATGTACTGCGTGTGCCTTCCGGGATTTGCAACGGTTCAAGAGGGAAATTGGACATCAGGTTGCGAAAGGAACTTCACACAAGAGAGTTGCAAAAGAACGAGCAAAAATGCAGACTACACCATCTAGCCGGTCGCAAACACTGTGTGGGAAGATGATTCGTACTCTGTCCAGTAATTACCAACCATCGAGGAATGTCGAGCCACATGTTTGCTCGACTGCAATTGCGTTGAAGTGATATACAACATCGGCGAGTGCAAAAAGCAAGGCCTCCCTCTGAGATTCGGCAGGAGAGACCTCGCCAATTCGAACATAGTTTCCATCAAGCTGAGTACAGCTACGTCGGATGCAAATGCACCGAAGTGAATTAAAAAACTGATCAGGATTGACATTTTGGTTGTGAGTGTCTCGTTGATGGCTTTGGCGTTGATAATTCTAGTCACTCTTCGGGTCCTCGTTTACCGGAACAGGCTCCCGGGACATCAAATGTATCCAGAGCATGGAGTAAGCATTGGATGGATAGAGGATGTTGGACCGAGACGCTTCACTTATGAGGAGCTCAAGGAAGTGACCAAGGATTTCAAGGACGAGATCGGTAACGGGGCATTTGGAACAGTTTACAAAGGCACGCTGCTGAATCGTCGAAAAGCGGCAGCCATCAAGAGGCTTGAGAACATCTCTTCTGATGGGAACATTGAATTCCGAACCGAGGTGAAAATCATCGGGAGGAGTCATCACCGGAATTTGTTCTGCCTGCTTGGTTATTGTGAGGATGGATACAACAGGCTTTTGGTGTATGAATATATGACCAATGGCTCACTCGCGGATCTGCTCTTTACGCCCGAAAGACAGCTTCATTGGGAAGAAAAAATGGGCATTGCTCGCTATATAGCCGGAGGCCTCCTTTACCTCCACAAGGAGTGTGAGACGCAAATCATCCACTGCAATATAAAGCTTCACAACATACTACTCGACGAGAATGGAAGGGTGAAAATATCTGATTTCGGACTGTCGAAGATGTTGAAGCCGTATCAGACCAAGACCATGACTGGAATGCGGGTAACCAGAGGGTACATTGCGCTGGAGTGGCACAAGAAATTACAATTGACAGTGAAAGCCGACATCTACAGCTTCAGGATTGTGTTACTGGAGATAATTTGCAACTGGAGGAGCCTGGATTGGCACCGCTCTGAGGATGAAGCGATTCTCGAAGAATGGGTTTATGGATGCTTTTAGGCCGGTGGGCTGGCAAAGCTAGTGGACTCCGAGGAGGTCGAAACAAAGCAACTGGGGAGGGTGGTTAAAGTAGGACTGTGGTGCGTCCTGGAAGGGCCATCGCTTCGTCCGTCCATGAGGAAGGTGTTGCTGATGCTCGAAGGCACCGTGGACATCCCCATACCGCCTTCTCGGACTTCCTTCCTCAGTTCCATGTGACATCCCCATACCGCCTTCTCGGACTTCCTTCCTCAGTTCCATGTGACTTTCTTCTTCATGTCTTCCACTTCCCTCCCTGCTGAAATTTGTCAATAATGTGAGTGACTTGAGCTGAAGCATGCAACTGTGCTTGGTCTGTTTTCGTTTTCTTGATGCTTTAATTGCAGGTTGCTTGATGCAATTCCAGTTGCTTAATGGAATTATAATAAAGTATTAGCAGGCTCATTTTAGCAGGACGGTCAATGTTGGCTACGCGTAGCAGAGGTTGGATCCACCTTCCCAATACACGTTGAGAGTGTACCAAATAGATTTTCAGCTCTCAGTCTCTTTTGCATATAATTTAGGAAAGCAAACAAAGTTGGTGAACTTCTTTAGGGTTTAAACACATAATCACCTGAGTTATCAAGGGCACGGAATGCTTGTTAGGGAACGTTAATGAATAGACGACTTTTACCAACTACATTTAGACCTGTTAAACGGGTGGTTCGGGTCGGGTTTGGGTCGGGTCATAAATAGTCCAACCCAAATTGACCCATTAACCTGTTTATGACCAATTTATTCGTAGTGTAAATATCCCGACCCATACCCAACCCATACCCGACCCTACCTGTCACGCCCCGTACCCCACGAAGCGCGAGCATCCCACCACAGGTCGAATTGGTGCGACGTCCCCAGGTTACGTCACCGACCCAGCATCCAACTCACAGAGAACATTGCACATGCGGAAGCAACGTATATATATATATACACCCGTACAATAAACAAGACAACCAAGGATAGCACAGCACTGGAATTTAGCATGAATAAAAAAAACATTTTACATTACTGCAGAATCTTATACAATATCTATTATAAGAAAAGCAACTAGAAGACAAACTGAGCAGCGGCCATCGAACAAAAAGGATGGTGGCCCGGGGATACTAAACTAAGGCGGGGCTTGGTAAAAAAGGTGCGACATGTATAGACATAGTCTTCTCGATGAACTGGGAAATCCCAAAACGGATTGGCGCCTCTGCCATCCTCACTGCCGGGGATCTGAAAAGTCGGTTTCCAACAACTGTGAGACGAATCTCAGCAAGTAATAACACCTAAACCTAAACTAGACTAACATGCACCTCCTGACAGGCGAATAAAACACACATAACTGTGTACCGAAACATCACAATAATTGACCTAGGTCCATGGCCTAGATCACTCATATAATGACCCTGCAGGTTAGACATTTCATAATAAGGTTCATGGCACATACGCACACACACTCGTCACGCGTACGCCATACGCACGTTCATGCTCATTAATGTCAGACTGTCATGCAATTCACCGAATGCGCACCACGGCTAACACACTCCGGCAAATAATTGCCATGCTCATGAATCGTCTCAAGCAATGCACTCCGGCATGCGGTTCGTTTACAAGTATAAACCGACCCGTAAGCCCACAGATAAATCGACCCGAAGGCCACGACCCGAAGTCCAACAATATTAAATTGACCCGAAGGCCACGACCCGAAGGCCAACAATATTAAATCGACCCGAAGGCCAATAATTATTCCGACCCGAAGGCCAACAATGTTAATCCGACCCGAAGGCCACGACCCGAAGGCCAACAATATTAAATCGACCCGAAGGCCACGACCCGAAGGCCAACAATTATTCCGACCCGAAGGCCAACAATGTTAATCCGACCCGAAGGCCACGACCCGAAGGCCAACAATTATTCCGACCCGAAGGGCAACAATGTTAAACCGACCCGAAGGCCACGACCTGAAGGCCAACAATTATTCACCTCAGGTATATGTATTTTCGTACTCACAAATCCGACTCACATCAAAAAAATGCAGTATGCGAATTCGTGCGTAATAGGCACCCAAACCAATCACGAACGTACGAGTCAACGATGCCAATATGTGCCCAAGTAAAATTTGTCACAACTGGACCAATCCAATATTATACTAGCACGTCCAAATCATTCCTTTTTAGCCCATCTAGACCCGGCATCCAATTCATGGTTTAAACACGTTAAACACGATACCATTTCATATGCTTAAAATCCGCCATTAACCAATCAATCTCGGCCACTAAACCAACAACAAGGCATCACACAATTGAGTAGGATTAAGTCCCGATCAACCAGTAAATCACCCAATCTAGACAACTAAGGCAAAAATCCAAATAATTCTTACTTAGGCAAATTATTCCAAATTCAGATCTAGGGTGAACAGTACCCAAACAGCCCACATTTGGGCATTGAACCACATCCAATTGAGCCTATTAAGTCCCAATTATGCCTCACAATCATCTAATACACATCCACCCATAATTAGATTATAATCTAATCTAATTAAACTCTAATACACCTATCAAAATGCAATTTAGACTAATTAGGGTTTAGGAATTTAATTCTCGCCTAATCCAAATCGAGTCGACGGGAACGAGCGGTCAATCGCCGATGGACGGTAGGATCGACGGCGGCGTTCCGACGGGACGGCGGTCCGGCGGCGGTCTTCAACCGGCGGACGGCGGCCAAGGCGGTGAAAGAAAAGGGAAAAAGGAGGAGAGAGAGAGAGATCGGTCGGGTGAGGGTGACGAGCTGGGGTGGTCTGGCGCGGCGGCACGGCGGGACGGCGTGCGGCGGCGCTCCGGCGCACTCGGCCTCCCGGCGGTGTATGGCGACGGGGACATCAGTACAGCCCAAAAGAAGAGAGCGAACGGGACGGTCGACTGAGGATGATGACGGTGAGGTGAGGCGGGGACGGTGGCACCGACGGTGGCGCACGGCGGCGACGGGCGGAGCTCCGGCGGTGGCTGGTCGCACAAGGGAAGTCGGCGATGAAGGGAGAGGAAAATGAGGGCTCGGCCGAATGAGGGAAGGAGGGAGAGAGAGAAGGGTCAAATGTTGGTCAAAACAAGTAAGTGGAGTCCAAGTGTCAAACATTTAAGGGGTTGGGACCATAATACCCCTCATCCAAGGGCTCATGTACATTTCCCACCAATAATACAAGGGCTTTTTGGTCATTAGCCCTTAATTATTGGGCTGATATCATTCTTTAATATTTTCCTTAATTAAAACTCCAAAATTCAACCAAAATTCGGAATTACTCAAAATGGGTCCAAGGGCATTTTGGTAATTTTCCGGTCCCGGGTTGAAATTTCAATTTTTGTCCATACCAATCCCAAATATACGCGGCCACTCAGAAATGGTGTCGGCCACGCAAAATAGTCACTTACTCCCTCGAAAATCGGCTTCAAAGTCTTGAGGGACAAAATGGTAATTTTTCACTTCCGGATCGAATTTCCATTTTTCGACCGTACACACTCCAAATATGCGTGGCCACCCTAAAAAGGCATCGGCCACGAAAAATAACCTCATACGGCCTCGAAAATCAACGTTGGAGTCCAGAGGGTAAAATCGTAATTTTTCCAATTTCGGCCAAAATTCCAATTTTCGGCTGTACCAGCCCCAAATAAATGTGGCCACTCCAAAACAACATTGGCTACGAAAAATAGTCGCATACGATCTCGAAAATCGACGCCCAAGTTAGGGTCAATTTTCCGCGATCAAAATCGCTCACTTTCAAATTTTAAAGTCTCTAACTAACGGGCGGCTGTTTAAGGGTTCTGCGTATCGACCTAGGGGTACTCGAGTCGTGACGGCCTCAATTACCGGGAAAACGCGAGAGTTTATCACTAGTGCCGGAGGTCGTGATTGGTCGGTTTAAGTTCGGGATTTGATCGCCACGTGTACTTTCGGTTGTGCGAAATCACCCGCGATCTGATTGTACATTGTTGGCCAAATCATATCCTTCACTTTCCTAGGATCGGCCCATATTGGCCCAAAATATTTCCTCGCCGCTTCTCGAAATCGGTGCCCTATTCACGGTCGGGTCCCTGGTCCACGTACTGTTTCCTAATTAGCCATTCCCTTTTGGTTAGTATCCCGAGAGTGATCAATTCCGGGCGAGACTTTTCAAAATGAAATGATAAACAATAATCACTTTATTGATCCCGGAAATGGGTCGAAATTCGGGATGTTACACGACCCGATCCGACCCATATTGCTAAAACACTTTTATATTTAACCTAATCTAGGAATACTTGTTTCTTATGATTTTTTTTAAAATTATACTGCTAAAACATTTTATGCAATACAAAGCTAGTGAAAAAATTTTATAATTTTTTTAAAATTGAGATTATGTTTGTTTTGCGAAAAATGTGACATTTCTAAAAAATATTTTCCATAAAGTCATTATCCGAGAAAATAAAATTTTTTTGGACGTTTTGCTGAAACCTGAAAATAAACAAAAAATTTTTTTTCGATATTTGGTATATAAAATTTGATTTGATTTTACTTTGTGCATTCATTTAATAATATTAATATATTTTTATTTTTTAAATCGAATTTTTAATTATTTTTATTTTTTTCTTTTTCCTTTATTTTTGGCCAATCGCCGGCCGCCGTGGTCGGCGATCGACCACAGGCGAAGACGAGCTCGCCAGAGGCCGGCGAAGCTCATTCTCGCCGATCTGGCGAGGCCGAGGCCTCGCCAGCCTCAGGTGAGGCTCCAGCTTGCCCGATTTCGGCGAGCCGAGCATTGCCAGCCTCGGGCGAGGCTCTACCTCGCCAGATCAGGCGAGGTCGAGCTCGCCTAGGGCCGGCGAGCTCGAGTCTCACCAGATTGGCGAGGCCTCGGCCTCGTCGGGGATCGGGCGAGCCTCGAGGTCGCCGGAATCCGGCCAGATCGGCGAGGCTTGAGTCTCGCTTGAGGCCGGCAAGCTCGAGCTTCGCTGGCCTCCGGCGGGGTTGTCCTGCCCCGGTGGCCGGTCGCCGTGGCCAACCACTGGCTGAAATAAAAAAAAAAAAGAAAAAGAAAGAAGAGAAAAGAAAAAAGAAAAAATAAAAGAAAAAGAGAAAAAATAAAAATAATTAAATTTCAATTTTTTTAAAACATTTTTATAAAGAGGGAGAGAGTGTGTGGATGAGTCTAGTGGGTGGGTGGG